GAGTTTGGTCATCTCAAAAGGCTAGCATTTACAACAACTCGATGTTAATAATGCCCTTTTACATATGACTCTAACTGAAGATGTCTTCATACAGTAACCTCTTGGCTTCATCCACCCTCAATATCCATGGCATGTTTATAAACTACAAAAAGCTATTTATGGACTTTGTCAAGCTCCAAGAGCTTGGTACACCGAACTTGACTCGTTTTTAACATCACATGGCTTCATCAACTCCAAAAATGATACCTCGCTATTTTTCTATCACCAAAGTGGAAATACAATATATCTTCTAGTATATGTGGATGATATTATTGTCATGGATAACGATCCTCTAGAAATCAAGATATTCCTCAAGCACTTGGTAGATCGTTTCTCCCTCAAAGATCTAAGAACCTCGAGCTACTTTTTTGGAGTGGAAGCAACATACACATCTTCAGGACTTTTCCTATCACAAAGAAAGTATATTCAAGATCTGTTATCAAAGGCGAATATGCAGGACGCAAAATTGGTTACAACTCCTCTGTCTACTAGCGAGTCACTCAAACTATATGATGGAAGCTCTATTACGGACCCAACTCAATACTGCCAAGTACTTGGCTCCTTACAATACTTATCTCTTACCCATCCAGATATCTCATCTGCGGTCAATAAATTATCATAATTCATACATCAACCATATACTATGCATTGGTCTGTAGTTAAATGAATCTTGTGATATCTTTATAGGACTCTCAATCATTGCCTCTTTTTCTGCAAACACTTCCCTATTCATCTCCATGCCTTTGTTGATGCTGACTGGGCAAGAAATTTTGATGACAGAACATCCATGTCAGGGTATATTATCTTCCTTGGAGCTAATCTAATCAGTTGAAATTCTAAGAAGCAAAAGATAGTTGCACGATCTACAACTTAATCTGAATACCATGTCATTGCAACCGCTGCTGCAGAACTCAATTGGGTTATAAATATACTCAAGGAACTTGACATCAACTCCACCTCTACTCCTATAATATATTGTGACAATGTCAAAGCCACTTACTTATGCACCAATCCAGTATTCCACTCACGCATGAAACACATAGTCATTGACTTTCACTTCGTGTAAGAACAAGTTGTCAGATATTAACTGTGTGTTTCTCACATATATATGGCTGATCAACTAGTAGACTCACTCACGAAACCTCTCACCTGCAAACCATTTTTATTGCATCGATCCAAGATCGCATCCTTGACAAGAGCACCGTGTTGCAGGGGCATGATGACAACTAAGATTTCCCTTAATAATAGTTAAGATTTCCCCTACTACATGAGGAAAGATCGAAACTCTATTGAGGAAAATCTTCCCTCCTAACGTGTATAAATAGAGTGCCGCAGTAGCAACAATGGCTGCGAGATCATAGTTGTTGTCACCGTGGAAATATTAAGTTTGGCTCTAATATCATGTTAGAAATGAAATGAAGAAGATATTATTTTTTATTAATATGGTGCTCCATATTTATACACGTTAGGAGGAAGGATTTTCCTTAACAGAACTACGATATTTTCTTATATAGTTGGAGAAATCTTAACTATTATCAAGGAAAATCTTAGCTATTATCAGTTACCCTTATCAAGCCTCGACGTACCAAAGACACTAGTCTAGATTACTCGAATTGGCAAAGTCTCAATATGTTTCCTTGATCTCTTTTGAATGTTGTTAATCTTCACATATTATAATCCTTGACCTCTTTTGAATGTTGTTAATCTTCACGTATTATAAGGGAGGGTAGCTAAGCTACACATTGGTTGCTCCTTGGGCGCATTTGAAATTTTTGGCTTGCCTGATGGCAAACTTTACTAGTTGTAGATCATTATTTGTAATATATTTTTCTTTCTTCAGGAAAAAAAATTATTTTTATATTAATAAATAAATCAAGGTTTGTAATTAAGTATCGTAGTTTTGAGTTCAGTTCGGTATAATACGGTATAAGTATATCGAATAGTACATTTTGTTATACCGCTCGATATATATATATATATATATATATATATATATATATATATATATATATATATATATATATAATGACGGCTCTACCCGCGTGAAGGGTTCCCTCCTTCTCCACACATGAAAAAAAAAAGGGGGGGAAGGGGTGGGGGGGGGACGCAAAAAAAGAAGAAAAAAAAAAGGTGTCATCTCGCTCGCTCGGTTTCTTTTGCTAGGAAGAAGAAATTGCTTTTCCAAGCGACGTCACCAAGGTTTCATCGTCGTGTCAGTTTTTTAGATTTTTTTTTCTTTTTCCTCTTATTTCTTCTCCATAATTGACCTCTTTTTGACCTCTTTCTTCTCCCTTTTTTTTCTTTTCCGTCATTGATCGATTTAAGAATGAAAACAGTCGCAATCGAAGTTACCTTTCGGTAGTAAACAGTCAATGCACCAGTCTGTTGATAGACCGGTATGTACTGCCCGGTACAAGCAATATTATTCAAAATAAAAACATTGAAAAACAATTACATATTAGTTTTTTCTTTTATATGTAACAAAGTAGAGATTGAGTTTATTAAATATTTGGATGTATGACCAGAAAGAATAGTCCTAACAGATACTCCATCAAGATTAGCATCTTCAAGGAGAACGATTGTGATGA